TTCGGTCACACTTTGGGGTGATGGCTGTGCCCTTATTTACCTATTCTTGCTCAGGCCAAGCCCACTCTTCTCAACGGTGGGCCCAGACGTCTGCAACTGCATTTCCCAGACACTCTCGCCACCTGAGTTCCTTTTAGATTCCGCCAGTGGGAGGTGCTGGGGAAAGACCAGACGGTGGAAGGAGAAAAAAAAGGACATCTCTTCCTGATTTCAGCAATGATGGCACCCCTCCAACAAGTGCAGGAGGTTCCAGCTCCCCACTTCTCAGGCTCTTCAACACTGGCCCAAGGGCGCCTCTAAGAGTCCTCAGCACCAGCCCCATGGTGACCCATCTGCCCAAGTTCCCAGGCGCTAGTAATGCTAATTCTTCCTTTTTGTTCTCCCAGCCCTAGGGGGGCTAGCTCCTTCCTGCAGTTGCTCATTTTTGGGTTACCTCAACATCTGCTTCATTCTTTCAGCCTTCTAGCCACGGGACCAAAAATCTCCTTTTGTTTGAAATGCCTGGTGTGGTTTTTCCTTCTTGGACCCTAACTGATACAGTCCTTGGAATTAGAACTAGAGTTTATGTACCACCTTCTGGAACACATGTGGTTTTCCAGTGAATCCAAAGTACTTACCACTCCCTGCTCATTGGGAATCAATGTGATTGGGAATCAATGCGATGTTCTGTGGGATGTCAGAAGGCTTAAAGTTTCCGCAGGTAAGATTACGGCAGAAAGAAGGGTATGCAGCATAGCCCTGAGGCTAGACAAACAAAGGGGCATTGCTATCTCTGAAATAACTCCTTCTAGACTGGACCCTGGTGGCTACAAGTATCTTTATTTATTGACTTATTTTTATAGAGACAGTGTTTCACTATGTTGTCCAGGCTAGTCTCACTCCTGACCTCAAGCAATCCTCCTGCCTCAACCTCCCAAAGTGCTGGGATTACAGGTGTGAGCCACCATGCTAGGCCCAACATCTTTTGGGTTTTTTTGTTTTGTTTTGTTTTTGTTTTTTTAGATGGAATTTCACTCTTTCGCCCAGGCTGCAGTACAGTGGCACAATCTTGGCTCACTGCAACCTCGGCCTCCTGGGTTCAAGCGATTCTCTTGCCTCAGCCTCCCAAGTTGCTGGGATTACAGGCATGGGCCACCATGCCTGGCTAATTTTTGTATTTTTAGTACAGATGGCGTTTTGCCATGTTGGCCAGGCTGGTCTCGAATTCCCGACCTCAGGTGATACACCCGCCTCAGCCTCCCAAAGTGCTGAGATTACAGGCATGAGCCACTGCACCCGGCCTCGGCCCAACATCTTTAATCACGAAAATCTGAGAGTGAGCTACATTTAGTGTGCATGAAGGAACCATATTTTTCCTACCTTCCATCTCAAGTCCCTCACTGAGGCTGTAAAACAACAGGAGATCTTGTAAAAAGCTTAAATCTCTAGATTCAGGGAAGAGAACAAGATTGCTTTAAAAATAATGCTGGACAAACAAACTGTGGCATATTGTTCAATGTGTATTGAATGGCATAGTATTCTGTGCATCAGAGAAAAAGAATGAACTATAGTTGCACGTAAGCAAAGGGATGAATTTCCTGGACATAATGTCAAACAAAAGAGACCAGACCCAAAGGAGTATACACTGTAGGAGCCGATTTGAACGTCCATGAATTCAACCGCAGGCAAAATTATACCACAGTGATAGAAGTCAAAATAATGGGTATCTTTTGAGGGGGGATTAGGAACTGGGAGAAAGCACAAGAGAACCTTCTGAGCTGCTAGAAATATTCCACATTTTAAATTGGATGATGGTTACATGGATGCATACTAATGTAAGAACTGGTCAAGCTGTACACTTGAGATGTGTGAATCCTAAATGTGTATGTCCTCTCTCAATAAAAAAGCAATATAAAATATTTGGTTACAGAGTAGCCATTTAGAGAGTATTTGCAGAATAAATATGTGACTTGAGCTCTCAAACTCTGTTGCATTTATTTCACTGGTAGTACTAGTTTGTTTGTTTGTTTGTTTTTTGAGACGGAGTCTGGCTCTGTCGCCCAGGCTGGAGTGCAGTGGCGCGATCTCGGCTCACTGCAAGCTCCGCCTCCCAGGTTCACGCCATTCTCCTGCCTCAGCCTCCTGAGTAGCTGGGACTGCAGGCGCCCGCCACCTCGCCCGGCTAGTTTTTTGTATTTTTTAGTAGAGACGGGGTTTCACCGTGTTAGCCAGCATGGTCTCGATCTCCTGACCTTGTGATCCGCCCGCGTCGGCCTCCCAAAGTGCTGGGATTACAGGCTTGAGCCACTGCGCCCAGCTGCTAGTAAAGTTTAGAACTTTTTAAATGTTAAATTCTATACCCAAGTGACATACAAAGTTTAAAACACATCTTCTCAGGCTGGGCGCAGTGGCTAATGCCTGCAATCCCAACACTTTGGGAGGCCAAGGTGGGAGGACTGCTTGAGCCTAGGAGTTTGGAGACCAGTCTGGACAACATAAGGAGACCCCATTTTCTACAAAAAATACAAAAAGTAGCTGGGTGTGGTCATGTGTACCTGTGATCTCAGCTATTTGGGAGGCTGAGACAGGAGGATTGCTTGAGCCAAGGAGGTCAAGGGGGGTGCAGTGAGCCATGATCGTGCTGCCACGGCACTCCAGCCACATTCCAGCCTGGCCAACAAAGCAAAGCCCTGTCTCAAAAAAAAAAAAAAGAAACAGAAAACCTCCTCAGAGTAATATGGCTTAACAAACAAAACAGTGGAGGGCTTATTTGTTTATTTAAACTACTTTACACCTCTGAAATATTCAACCCATGTAGGCATCTGTATATACAAAGATTTCTTTTAATCAGATCAGTGCTGATCATACCTTTGAAGTGCCCAAGTGGACACAGTGATGGAGGACACACAGGAGACACGGGCCATCTCCAGAGTCTCTCTGGGCCTGCCTTTTGTGGAGGGGAGAGCACAGATGCAGACCAAGGCCAGACTCACTTCAAGTTGAGAAATGGGACAAATGAGACACATAAAATCGACATCACCCACCAAGATCCTGTCTGAAACCTTACTTCATTCCTACTGGTTAGCAAATGCCTTTAGCTCATTGCTCACAAAAGGAGCAAATCCAGAAGAATGTGTATGCCCAGTATACAGGCTAACTTCATGCTGATCTCAACATTCGAATGCCCACGAGGCTGTTACTGAGCATTTTCACCACGCCAATCTGATAAGGTTTATAATGTATAGATTTACTGGTATTTAAATCTCATAACCTCCCTATGAGGCAGGAATGCTATAATCCTCCTTTTACAGATGATAAGCCTGAGTCACTGACGTAACTTGTTCACAGGTATTCACTGTCAGGGCTGGGATCTGAATCTATGCAGGCTGATTCCCCGGTGGACTCTCAACCATTACTACATATTCTTCTTTTTTTTTTTTTTTGAGACGGAATTTCGCTCTTGTTGCCCAGGCTGGAGTGCAATGGTGCAATCTCGGCTCACCGCTACCTCTGCCTCCCAGGTTCAAGCAATTCGCCTGCCTCAGCCTCCCGAGTAGCTGGAATTACAGACATGCACCACCATGCCCGGATAATTTTGTATTTTTAGTAGAGACGGGGTTTCTCCACGTTGAGGCTGGTCTCAAACTCCTGACCTCAGGTGATCCGCCTGCCTCAGCCTCCCAAAGTGCTGGGATTACAGGCGTGAGTCACCGCACCCAGCCACTACTACATAACCATTCAAGATAAGAAATGATAAAAGTTGTACATGAGGGAGGCAGACAATTTGTTCTGGGGTATTCGGATGAGTGGTACAGCTACGTCACAGCCGATTGGAGTGACATTTAAGGATCATGCAGAGGCCTTGAGCCACCCAGCTTCTCTGCAGTTCTGCTTTCCCAAGTATATTATCTGCCCACTGCTTGTTGGTTTCCTTCCTTATTTATTCAGTTGGGCTACAAATAATTGTATGCCTATTACATACCAGGTTTCTGTATTATGTACAGGAAATGAGAAGATAAATAAGAGACAGCCTCTTCCATATTTATGGCATACACTGCCCTCAGTTTAGTTTCTTTCTCCTGTTCAAAATTTCATTCTGTTTATTTTTGCATCAGTTCAGGCTGTTGCTTACGTGAGGTAACCTCAAAGTGACTTTTTGAAAGTCCTGACCCTTTGCCTTTCAACATCATTTAAGAACAGCAACAGCATCTGGATCTCTCAGTAAAATGCCTTTTCAACAGCTCAAAGCCAGGCTTGTTTTTGTTTTAATTTGGGAATGTTTCAAGTGAAACTTAGTTCCATCATTTAATTCCTGGCAGCCCAATAACCAGGGAGCAGTAACTCCCTTATCTGTGGGCTGTTTAATGACTATCTAGTACCACCCTGGGAGCAATAGACTAAGGCCTTCTTCCAGATGCCATGTTTTAAGGCTTTCAGCTGGAAAGACCATCACTCTGTAACATTTATTCTGATTATTTTAAGTCAGGATTTGGCCGCCTTATTCAGAAACAAACCAAAAAACCTGGCCCCTGACTTTCTGCCTCCTGCACTTCTGGCTCTAGGCCATATGAGCATCTAATTTCTAGTTTTTCAGACAGAGAAGGTTAGAAACTGGTAACCGTGGCCTCAACAGCAGATAAGCACATCAAGTCTGTGACAGGAATTAGGAAGACTGCTAGAGAATTATTTTTAAAGTCATCTCTTGTTCCACAAAGCATAGTTGTCTCTTCCTTTTTGTCCTCCTTGCCCATTCTCTTTGAGAAGTCCAGGTCTGAGAGGCACCAGACACTCAATCGACTAGGGTTTTGCTGCCTATAGGTAATTATGCTAAAAGTCTGCAGTAGTAGATCTTATGCTGGCATAATTATGCATTCGAGAGCAGAAGGTTTTTGCTGGAAAGCTTCACTGTTAGATATGATTTGCATTTTTTACTAGATACTTGTCTTTGGTCTTTGAGGACAGACATATTAAGGATTCCTTTGTGCAACAACACAAAAGCAAAACACAAAACAGCCCATATGTGAGCATGAGGCCGTTTTTTAATACAAGAAAGACATTGCTCTAGAACAGGGTTCGCCTTTGCTTCAGGGCCTAACAGTTTATTTTGGAGCCATAAGGGTAATGAAGCAGGTCAGAAATGACTTTTAGTGTAACCCTATCTGTAATTAAAAATAAATGCTGTCATAAGATCAAATGTTATCAAAAATCAGTATTTTAAATTAAATTTACCCCGAAGTTTCTTTCAAAAAAAATCTGTAATGTTCTTTTTGAGTGACGCTTTTGCCCTGCTAGAGCTGAAGAATGTGATCAATCGGCTTGTTGAATAATCCTGCACAGTAGGCATTCCGCTGAAGCCAACTCTAGCTGGGGGCTCGGGAGCGAAAGACACAGATGGGGCCCGGCCGCCCCTCGAATCGGATGGGCGCGCCCGTTCCCGGTGCATCAAGAGGCTGGCCCGGCCAGGGGAGAGCGGCTGGCACCGAACCCCACGCACCTCCCCGCGGGCGGGGCCGGGCAGTCGTCGGCTCGATTTAAAGCTGGTCTCGAAGGTTGCGGCCGGTCAGGCGAGGCGAGGCAACGTGAGCGAGGGTGCTTAGGGAGAACAGCCGCGGGCAGCTCAATGCTGGGTGGCCAACGCGCTACAGCGCGCGGCAGCAACCCAGCCGACAACCCGACCCGGATCCCGAGCTGCGTAGCGGACAATACTGCGCGCCCGTCCCGGACTACGACTCCCGGCGGGCTCTGCGACCGCTCCGGGGCGGCCCAGCGTGCACTGCGCCGGCCAGCTTGACAGCCAGGCGCCCCAGTCGGCTAGCTCTGCGCCCGGCCAGGGACGCTGGCCTTCTCGCGGTTTTCCCCCGATGTCTCTCTTTACTCCAACTGCCTGAAACTCGGCCCCACGAATGGCAGGCAGCGTCCAAAATTCAACCCCGTAGAGCCAGCACCAGCCAATAAGGCGCACGGATAGAGGCCACGTGACAGCAGTGGGCCGGCCCTCCGGCTGAGCCCAGATCTCTATGGTTTCCGCGGCTCGCTAGAGGGAGTGTGGTCCACTGGAGGACTCCCTACATTCTTCCTCCATTACCTCACTGCCTCCGGTGGCTGCTGGGATACCGGAGGACTCGGGTCCCGGCTCGACTCAGTCCTCCAGCCGCCCGGGGAATACCTCTAGTTCTTCCCGGCCGCCGCCGCCGCCCCGCCGCTTCCTCCTCCGCCAGCCGGCCTCCTTCGCCCCGCCCCGTCCGCGCCGCGCGTCCGGCCCGCCCGCGGGCCAGCTTCTCTCGGGAGCCCCCACCCAGGCGCATGGCTCCATGAAGCAGAAGGAGGAGGCAGAGCACGAGAGGTCCCGTCCGCCCCAGCCGCGTCTGGGCCAGGAGAAAAGGTGGGAAACTCAGGCTGCGCCGCGCCCTCCTCCTCCCCGCTGCCGGGCCCGGCCTCCCTCGGGCCGCCGCCGCCTTGCCCGCCGGGCCTGTTCTCGCCGGGTCGGGCGGCGGGGCCGGGAGGAGACCCCGCGGTCCTGGGGCGAGGGTCCCGGGGCAGCGTGGGGGAGGGGTCCCGGGCGGCGGGGGGGCCTCAGGCCCTGTCCCAGCGGAGGGCAGGGGGTCGGGAGGCACTGCCGGGGAGGGGCGGGCGGCGCCGTGCCCCGGGCCGCGAGGCTCGGCTCCCGCTCCTGGTCCTTGTCTGCACTCCCTCCAGGAAGCAGACTCGCTCGTTGTAAAGTTTGGTGGTCTCCGGCGCCGCCTGGTGGCCCCCACCCACCGTCCCGCCGCCCCCTCCCCCGCCCGGCGTCTGGATTCCACCCCCGCGGCTCGGCCCAAGCTGCTCTACCCGTCGCTCCATCGTCTCCCCAACTCCCCAGCGCCCCGGACCCTCTTTCCTCATACCCTCGTTTTTCACCTTTCACCCTCTCCCTCGGCCTGCTTTTCCCCTCCCTGCTCTGGCCTGTCGTTTTCTTAACACTCTTCACACGCGCGCTTCCTCCTCCTCCTCTTCTCTTTTTCCCACCCCTACCCTTGGGCCCTCCTTCCTTAACCTGCGCTGGACCCCTGTTCCGTGATCCGTCCACCTGACACGCTGGGTTTCATGCCTCTCTCTTTCCCAGGCTGTGGGTTGTGCCCTTCACTCTTTGCCCTCCTCCATTCCCTGTCCTGATCTGAACTCTCCTTGCCACGGTCCCTCACCCTTATCCCTCTGGGCCTTATCCTCTTTCACTGCCCTCTCCTAGGATAGAGTGGGTGGGGCCTCTCCCACCCACAGGAGATGTAAACAGTCTCCTGTTTACTCACATCTTTGGGAGTAGCTCCATTCTCTACTAGTGGGGAGAGTTGGTGAAGCGATCAGGAAGAGATTTCTTCGAGACTGACAGTAAGGATGAATGACTCCTAGCAACAGTGACCCTCTCCTCCCGGCATAGCAAGATGGCCTGCCCTCAGGTCCCTGCCTCCGGCGTGCTGTCCAGTAATTCTTCAGTGCTGTCTTTGCAGAGGATTGGGGAATTATTTATCTGTGTTCTGAAACCGGCGGCGAGCCTTTAAATGGTGTCTCCTGGCTTGAGAGCAACTTTTGCTCTGCATCGGTGGTGGGGAAGTTTTAATGCTCGAGTTCAATAAATCAAACCTTTGATTCTCACCATCCTCCCCTCTTGCCGATGACGCTAAGGATGAGATGATTCAGGGCATGGGACTGCACTGCTGCCTCAGATTTAGAGTTTGAAAGGTTTTGAAATAAGGAGAGCCTGTTCTCTGGCTATTTGCTGTGCCCGCCCCGAAATTGCTCTGTGGAGTTGTGGTTTTTCAGAAACCGTATGTATCTTACCTCTGCCCTACCTGGGTGTTTGTTCACTGCACCTGCCATTTCCGTCTTAGGTACAGGAAGAAGGAATGGAATCCGAAGGAAGAAAATTCATTCCAGAGACAAAATAGCTCCCCTCCTCTGTTGTAGCTGTTCCTCTGGCAATACAAACTTTCTGCTTTCAGTGAGTATTATCTTGGACATATTTAGAAAAGAGCGTCATTGTAGTTTTTGGTTTTAGGCATGTGCTAGGATTTTGGGATGTAGGTGTATTTTGTTCATTCGTATTTTTCTACTTCCGTGAGGGGATCCTAATGTTGATGAAGTTTTTCCACTGATTCCCTTTTAAAATAATTTAAATATGCAAGTTTGTGTTCTGTACCCCCATTAGAGTGAGCTAGGTGGTGGCGTGGCATGATCTTTCCTTTATATTTCTAGTGTGTAAGGTCTGGCTCCCTACCCTTCCCAAATTCGTTTCTCAATATGACCAAAAAGGTTGTCTTAACTTTTAGGGTAATTAACTCAGAGGTTAATGCAGTTCCTGATCAAAGTCAGTTATTGGTTCTCTTTTCTATAGTTTCAGTCCTCAAAGACTTTTGGAACATTTTGTCCTAAATTCGCAATAGTGATGATATTTCCCTGAAAATCCCATCACAGATTTGAAAATAATTAAAATTTTTCACTGTAAACTTGAAACAAAGTTCTGGGGAAAAATGACGGCTGTGTCCTCTTAAGTTGATTCATGATAGTATGCTAACACTTAGGAGAGCGTTTTCAGAGTGCTTCACTTCTCGGTGAAGCCCCCCAGCCCCTCTGAGGGATGTAGGGGACAAATGTTTTTATTTTACAAATGAAAGAACTGAGGCCCAGAAAAATCTGGCACCTTGCTACAGGTCACATAGAAAACAGGGGAGGTGAAAAAAGTTTTGACTCCTAGATACATGTTTTTCTTTAAGCTAAGTTGAAATGAAAATGTATAGTTCTGGCCAGGCGCAGTGGCTCACACCTGTAATCCCAGCACTTTGGGAAGCTGAGTTGGGTGGATAACGAGGTCAAGAGATCAAGACCATCCTGGCCAACATGGGGAAACCCTGTCTCTACTGAAAATACAAAAATTAGCTGGGCGTGGTGGCACGTACCTGTAGTCCCAGCTACTCGGGAGGCTGAGGCAGGAGAATCACTTGAACCTGGGAAGTGGAAGTTGCAGTGAGCCGAGGTCATGACACTGTACTCCAGCCTGGCGACAGAGCGAGACTTCGTCTTTTAAAAAGAAAAAAAAAGGGTTCTTTATGTTTTTAAAAATCTATAAAGCTTAAAAACAATTGTTGCCAGGCATGGTAGCATGCATCTGGAGCCCCAGCAACTTGAGAAGCTGAGGCAGGAGGATCGCTTGAGCCCTGTAAATAGCCACTTCAGCCTGGACAACATAGCAAGACTTCATCTCTTTTTTTTTTTTTTTTTTTTTTTTAAAAAAGTCCGGGCACAGTCGCTCATGCCTGTAAATCCCAAAACTGGGAAGCCAACGCAGGAGGATTACTTGAAGCCAGAAGTTCAAAACCAGCTTGGTCCACATAACGAGACCCCATCTCTACAAAAGGAAAAATTTTTTTAAATTAGCCGAGTGTGGTGGTGCATGGCAGTGGTCCCAGCTATTTGGGAGGCTGAGGCAGGAGGATCTCTTGAGCACAGAAGTTCAAGGCTACAGTGAGCCGTGATTGCACCACTGCACTCCAGCCTGGACCACAGAGGGAGACCCTGTCTCCAAAACAAAAAGGAACAATTATATAGGTAGGTCTGTGATTTGTGGGGGAAAATTTTCACACACCAAATGTTTTGGGTGTGTGTATGCTGGGGGTTTCAAAAATAAATGATTATTTGGTATGGTTACCAGAATGTATGTGGGTTTTTCTGACTGTTTCCTGGAATAGTTCCATAAGTAGGACAGAATTATAGCTCAGGTGCCATTTCAGTACCCATAATATAATTATTAAATTGAATTTCAACTCAACTCTGTGTCACAAAGGAAACAACAGCTTGTTCCCTTCTGTGGAAAGCTTGATTTGAGCAAACATCTGAATGCTAAATGATAACAGAAGAAAATGCAGAGACCCCATTTTTCTTGGCCTTTTTCCCACCTCTCAAATCTTCATGAGGTCATGCCCTCGAATAAGCTGTTTTGAGACATGTCTTCAGAAGGTGAATCTAGATTTTTCCCCCCCACCTTTAGGCTTTTCTAGATACTTTAACCTGATGGTTGTGTAAACCTAACTACTTTGACAACAGTTTTTTAAATTGGTATTCAATATCTATCAAGATGTCTACAATAATAGCATATTTAGCAAATTTAGTCTCTTTTTTAGTGTATATCTGTAAGCTTAAATGAGGGCTCTAGTGGAATAAAACTGTACAACTCTCAAGGCAGCAAAGTATTTTCCTCTGTGTTTTCTGGCATCTCAGAATGAAAAGAAGCAGTGGATGATTAATTAGAAGCCATTGCTCTCCAAAGAAGGAAACTATCAAGGTCATGAGAGTCATAATCCCACGTTAATAATACGATCTTTTAGATTACAAGGTCATTCTTAATGGAATTGTATTATGAGGGTGTTATTTCTCTAGAAATTGTAAGCACTCAGAACTGTGTTCTTTTTATAACCGACACTACTTTTATCCGTGGGGTAGGGTAGTATTGGTAACAGCAGACACTTACTAGATAGTAGTTATGTGCCACAGAACTGCCAGGTGGTTTTTGTGTCTTTCACAGCTCACAAATAAACCTCTGTGGTAGCAGGAGCCCAAGTCCACAGAGATGTGAAAACTTGCCTGAGTTGTGTAGCTGGTACGTGACAAGTCAGACTTGGGATCTGAGCTGAGATTGTAACCTCAGAATGTAGGCTGTGTCCCCTGAAGAGGGGAGCTGCTCTGGAAAATGTGAGTTATTGTTTTCAGTGGACTCAGTAGCCTTGGAAGGGACCTGCAGTGAGAGAGGAAGGTCCTTTTGCCCAGCCAGACACGTGAGTGAGGGCATCATCACATCTTCATGTCAACAGCAGTCTCAATACCTGGTTTGTAAATACTAGCAGTGTATGAGAAATGGTTTGTATTAATCCCTGAAACCACAAATGGCCACCCAGGCAAATAAACTCTCCAGTGGGTAGTTCTGAAAGTGCTCCGTCATTCAAAAAGGAACAAATAGTTCTTCCCAACCACAGTTCAGATCGTCTGATCTATCAAAAGAAAGCCTTGAACCACCTAGAAGTGGCACCCAAAACCAGTTCCAGAACTGACAGCTACCCTTAAGGACGACAGCTGCCAGCATACATTGGACCAAGAAGTGAATTTAGGTGATAGTTGACCTAATTTTTAAAATGAATTATCCACAGTGGCTATCCATTTTGCTATGGATAATTATTAAACTATCCCTTGGTTTAGGCTGAATAGAATGGAGATTGTTGATAAGAATAGGCCCTTATAATTCAGTCATCCGCAGGTTCTGCGATACTCCACTGTCAGGAGGCAAACTTAAATTACTGGATGTGTAGATAAGATTGTTGGTGACGATCAGCAGTGTGTGTGTGTGTGTGTGTGTGTGTGTGTGTGTGTGTGTGTATGTGTGTGTGTACTGTATGTAGGGCACCATGTTAGGTGCCGTGAAAGATGAAACAGATGCCCCGCAGCCTCTCAGGCTCAGGGTGATGCTGAGTTCAGTGCTGGGTTTTCAGTTGTAAGCTGCTCCAAATAGCAGTTCAGGTATAATGAAGTTCAGGGCCCCCTTGAGTGTGTACATCAGGTGGAGAGGAGAGAACGTCCTGCAAGCACAGGTCAGATGAGGACACCGCAGCATAACTGAGAAAGGCTGGTGACTTTAAGCACTGAGGACACACTTTATTTGACACCTGCAAGGTTAGGTCTTAAGAGGTGGTAAAACAGTGGTTCCTGTGATTTCTGCCAGCTTTTTGTTGAAGCATGAGTATTGTTTCCATCTAGTGGAAACCTAGTTTTAACTAGCTTATTCTTATTGGTGGTCCTAATGGATGAACGGGAAGAAAAGGGGATCACTACTGTGGACTCTCATCATGGCCCTTGAGCTGAGCTTTGTACGGGTAAGCAGCTGAAGTCCTGAAAGGGTCTTGGATATATATTCTTTTATAAAGCAAGAGTTTTTACACCTGATTTCAAACTTTTTTTGTCTTTTTCCTTCCGTTTTTGTGGAGAATGGGGTCTTACTATGTTGCCCAGGCAGGTCTCAAACTCCGGGGCTCAAGCTGTCCACCCGTCTCTGCCTCCCTAAGTGTAGGGATTACAGGCGTGAGCTCCTGCGCCTGGCTTCTCTTATTTCAGATGAACCAGCTTCACGGTAATTTGTACTATGCTCACAGTACCGTCCTTGGTCGTTTTCATAAAGTTTGGCAGGGAAGTTTGGCGGGCACAGATTTAGAAGAGGTGGAGCATGGCATTCAGTGGAGCTTTGTTTTTAGCTGACCAGACAGTCTGATCTATTAGAACGCTATGAGTTTGAAGTACCTTACCCTGTACTCAGAAAGCCCGGCTGCTGGAGGACCAGGTGTCTCTTGATCATTGCAGGGCAGTGCTGAGAGCCGAGTCGGGAACTACTTAGTTGTGATGAGACACCTACATTGTTGGAATAGGACTAGAGAATCTCAAACCTAAAGAGAACATTTTGATGAAATTCATTGATAGTGGTTGAGGTTTAAGAAGCCTTTGTTTATTACCAGCAGCTTGGTTTACTTTACGTTCTTTGCCTATAGTTGTTATATATTAGGCTATTTTTGCATTGCTATAAATACCTGAGACTGGTAACTTATTTTTAAAAAGAGGTTTAGGCCGGGCGCGGTGGCTCACGCCTGTAATCCCAGCACTTTGGGAGGCCGAGACGGGCGGATCACAAGGTCAGGAGATCACGACCATCCTGGCTAACACGGTGAAACCCCGTCTCTACTAAAAATACAAAAAAAAAAAAAAAAAAAACTAGCCGGGCGTGGTGGCGGCGCCTGTAGTCCCAGCTACTCGGGAGGCTGAGGCAGGAGAATGGCGGGAACCCGGGAGGCGGAGCTTGCAGTGAGCCGAGATCGCGCCACTGCACTCCAGCCTGGGCGACAGAGCCAGACTCCGTCTCAAAAAACTAAAAAAATAAAAATAAAAAAAATAAAAAGAGGTTTAATTGGCTCAGGGTTCTGCAGGCTGTACAGAGCGCGTGGCAGCATCTGCTTCTGGGGAGGCCTTGGAGCTTTTACTCATGGCGGAAGGCAAAGCGGGAGCGGGCACGTAAATAACAAATGCAGGAGCAAGAGAGAGTTGCGGGGAGGCGCCACACACTTTTAAATGACCAGGTCTTGAGAGAAGGCACTCGCTGTCATCACTCTCAGGAGTACAGCACCAAAGGTTGGTCCTAAACCATTCGTGGAAATCCACCCGTGATCCAGTCAGCTCCCACCAGGCCCTACAGCTGACAATGGCGATTACAATTCAGCATGAGACTTGGGCAGCGACAAATACGCAAACTATATCAAGTTAATATTTGCTTTTTGTTGGCAGATAAGTAGAAGATTGGCCCCCTCAAAAACCCGCCTTAAATAATTGTGTAGAAGGATGGGAGGCGGAGAGAGTAGGTGATGCACAGAGGTATAGATGAAGTAAGATTGGCCATAGGTTGGACATTTTTCAATGTTGGGCTCATTATACTATTTGTGGAGTATACTGTTTTCTCCACTTTGTTCATGTTTGAAATTTCCCATAGATTTGAATTTATGGAATAAGCTTTATAAGAAATGCCTTCTAATATATTTTTGATGCAGAAAATATTAACTCTGCTCTTGGTCACTAAGACTCAACTGAGACTGTCAGTTGAATTGGTTACTTAGTGGCCTCCAGAGAAATGCTTGGGTCTAAAGGGCCAAAGATTGTGGTTGGTTCTGTTCGTTGCAAGTCACAGCTGGAAGATGTGGGGGAACTGTAAACGCTAGACAGCAGCTGCCACTGCGGTCAGTGATTGTATGTGGTGTGCAGGCAGACTCTTCTAGACTTGAGTTCATCTGCATTGGTGTGGTTTGAAAATCGCTTCTGTTGCTCTGTTTTAGGATGTTTCACCAGTCAGGTGGCTGACACCACCTGGAAGAGAATGTCTGAGTTGTTGCCTCCGTCTCACGACATGTAGCTTTTCCTTCAGGTGTGGTTTGGTGTAATGAGAATGATGAAAGGTTTTTTTAGCTTTTGCATTTTATCCCTCCCCTTTGATTTTTTGAATTCTGAGGCTCTAGAGGTGCAGAGCCTCAGGGCCCTGTTAAAACACCAGCTCTCTGGGAATACGGTCCTGCTGCTTCATCCAACCTGTATCTCTACCTTGCTGCCCACAGTTGCACACAAAGTAGAGTCAAGTGAGAACTCAGGCCAGTGACACCCATCATGGATTCAAATGACCCTGGGATGAGGGGATAATTTTCCAGGTGATGGCTGAGGTGTTGACTTTGGGCTTGGTTTTTCATGGTTTTTTCCCAGCTCCATTTTTGTTGGCAAGATTCTATAAGCTGTTAGATTAGTTCTTAACATACCCTAGAATTTAAATTTTTATTTATTTATTTTGAGACAGGGTCTCCTGGGCTCAAGTGATCCTTTTGCCTCAGCCTCCTGTGTAGCTGGGACCATAGGTGCGTGCCACCATGCCCAGCTAATTTGTTTTATGTAGAGACAGATGTCTCACTTTGTTGCCCAGGCTGGTCTCCAACCCCTGGGCTCAAGTCATCCTCCCACCTCGATCGACCTCCCAAAGTGTTGAGATTATAGGTGTGAGCCCCCACGGCCAGTCCAGAATTTAATTTTTTTTTTTTTTAATCCTGCCCTAAAGAAAGAGACTGAATCCAGTGGATATTATTGGCAAGACTCATTCTTTCTTGTAGTTCCAGGCCATAGAGCCTGATACATAGATCGCGATCTAAATCCTAGCTCTGGCCCAGGTGCGGTGGCTCACGCCTGTAATCTCAACATTTTGGGAGGCTGAGGTGGGCAGATCACCTGAATTCAGGAGTTCAAGACCAGCCTGGCCAACATGGTGAAACCCCGTCTCTACTAAAAATACAAAAATTAGTCAGATGTGATGGCACGTGCCGGTAGTCCCAGCCACTCAGGAGGCCAAGTAAGGAGAATTGTTTGAACGTGGGAGGCGGAGGTTGCAGTGAGCCAAGACTGTGCCACTGCACTCCAGCCTGGGGGCCAGAGTGAGACTTCGTCTCAAAACAAAACAAAACAAAAAATCTAGCGCGCCACTTAGTGGCCGTGTGGACGATGTAGAACGTAAAATGGTGGTAGCATCATCTGCCTTGTTGAGTGCTTTAGAGGATTCAGTGGAACCCTATTTGAAGAGTGTGTGCTCCGTGCAAGTTCTGCTGTAAGCCCAGAGTGCGCAGCCACGTACTGGTGCCCCAGGAGTTGCCCTTCTAGAGAACAGTGGACCGAGAACCCAGATGATAAGAGCAGCTGGAAGTATGGATGCTTACCACATGCCCGTCACTGGTTTACGCCCTTTACATATATATACATTGATACATATATATATATTTTGTTTGTTTGTTTGTTTGTTTTTTGAGACAGAGTTTCGCTCTTATTGCCCAGGCTGGAGTGCAATGGCACGATCTCGGCTCACTGCAACCTCTGCCTCCAGAGTTCAAGTGATTCTCCTGCCTCAGCCTCCCGAGTAGCTGGGATTATAGGCACGCACCACCATGCCCGGCTAATTCTGTGTTTTTAGTGCAGATGAGGTTTCTCCATGTTGGTCAGGCTGGTCTCGAGCTCCCGACCTCAAGTAATCTGCCCACCTCGGCCTCCCAAAGTACTGGGATTATAGGCGTGAGCCTCTTTACATATATTAAACTTATTTAATTCACCTAACAACCCTAGGAAGCAAATACTATTATTATTCCTGTTTTGAGGAAACTGAGGCAGAAAGAGGTTAATCGTGGAGGAACCAGGATTTGAGCCCAGGCCACCTGGCTTTGGAGGCAGCATTTTAAAAAACCAAGCCACTCTGCTCCCTCTCTCAACAGTCCAAATAAGACAGTGACATCCATGCTCAGAAACAGTGTAGTCATTGGAGGTTTTATTATATCGAGTAAATAAGACTTTCTCAAAAAGAAGCCAGGTGCTCACACCTGACAGCTCCTGGGGAGGCTGCAGTGAGAGGATCCCCACCTTTTTTTTGAGACAGGGCTTTGCTCTGTTGCCCAGGCTGGAGTGCAGTTTGAGACCAACCTGGGCAACGTAGTGAGACCCCCATATCTCAAAAAAAAAAAAAAAAATAGCTGGGCATAGTGGTACGTACCTGCAGTCCCAGCACTTTGGGAGGCTGTGGCGGGAGGATCACTTGAGTCCAGGAGTTGGAGGCTGCAGTGAGCTATGATTGTGCCACTGCACTCCAGCCTGAGTGACAGAGTGAGACCTGTCTCTCGAAAGAAAGAGAGAGAGAGAGAAAGCCCCTGTTTCAAGCAAGACATTTAAGTGTACAAGCTATTATTCTTGAGCCACAGAGGGCTTTGATCTCAATCAGAAATGCCCTAGATGTGTATTTGGTTATGAATCAGCATATATGAAGAACATAAATGATCCTTATAAAATGTTTATATCATTCAATGTAAAGTGACAAGTTGTTTGGAAATAATGGCATTGCAAATGGTGTGTAAATATTTGATTTGAAATTTAAAAGGTTAAAGAGTTTACAACTGAAATACTATTTGTAGATCAACGCCTAAAAAGATAATTATACACTGCATGTCCAAATCACAGGGGAAAATTTAGGTAGGACAATGCAAATCTCTCTTCTCTCTCTCTCTCCCTACCCCCACTTCCCCTTCTTTCTCTCTCTTTCTGGCCAAAACAATAACATACAATGACTTGAGAGAAAGCTTAGTTTTCTGTAGTTAGAAACTTCACTGTTGTCAACATTGAAATAACTAGGCGCTGTTTTCCTAATTCTGTTGAGGAGTGACACTTTTCGGACAACAGAGGGGACCTTAGTCATGTTATGGCTATACATTTTTACCGCGGGCTTTTAAAGAAAAAAAAAAACCAATTAAAAAAAAAATCCCTTCTTTCCGTTCGCATCATCAGCTAGGAGGAGGCTGTGGCTCCCCAGCCCATGTGACACCACATTTTGTTAAGCTGGGTGGCTTTGTCTCTGTCTGCCTGGCTATGACAGGGCAGAAGCTGCCACCTCACAAAAGGTCTGTGAAGCTTGGGTCATTCGTGTGGATAAAGGTTTCTGCTAGGTTGCAGGTTTTTTGAATGGGGTCTTGAAAGGATAGGGAGATGTATAGAAACTGGAGTCAGTTCAGAGGGGAACCAAAGAGAATGAGGGGGCTGGAGGAGGAGAGCTGCAAAGACAGAAAGGTGGGAGCCTTGTGTTAGAAGATGTGCCCTCTTCAGAGTGACAGCCAACTGCTTTTCATCCTCGCTGTGGTTTGGGGCTGAAAGTACGAAGATAGATTGTAGTTAGTGATGAGGAAAATGCACAAGGATGTGGTTAACAAGGAACATCATGGAAGTTCCTCTGGAGTTCTTTAAAAATAGGAT